TCAGGTTACGGATAAGAAAACATGGGGAAAAAAGCAGGTTTTAAAAAAGCTGAATATGTGGAATTAAAAGGAGAATTTCTAAGCCTGATTTTCTCTTGGAATTCACAGTTTCTTCTTTAGTATCTGTTCCATGTAACTAAATTGTGAATAGTATTACAAGTAACAATATTCCGAGATACAAATATATGCAAAGGGTCAGAATGAAATATGGATAAATTAGCAATGGATATAGAGCATAAATGAGAAGCATGCTTTCTGAAAATACGTAAGATTGCAACTTATGGATGCAGGAGCCGAAATCAGAAGATGGGATAACAAATGCAAGACAAGTAAAACAGACTAAGTTATGTTTTCTAAACATATTCAATAGAAAACTGATTATCAAACCAATAACTACTCAAATTTTTTTCCTTGAACTGCTGGGAACAGCAGAGTATGTTGTAGCCTACCTTTCACAAAATTCATTACATTTATTTATGCATGAGGCCTAAAATATATGTGCACTGAAGGCAGCATTGATGTCATGCTTTACATTCATAGGTTTGCCTCTGGAATGATTGCCATTCACAAATTCACAGGAAAACATCCATCAATTTTTTCATTCATTTTCAAAGGCAATTTTGTGATGTATACCTGATTTTTATCTAGCTTCAGCACACTGGATTGGTTTTTCAGGAAGTGTGTGAATCACAGGAACTGTAATAGTTTTTTTTTTTTCATAGCAATCATTCCTAAAGCTTTCCTACAGCTGCAAAATGTTCAAATCTCAGTCTCTCACTGAAATTAGGGGATACATGCTTAAAAAAGAGGTGTAGGTGTGTGAGTGGAGGGTGGTAGAATATATTTCAATCAATCGTATTACCATTAAGCAAACTCTACTTTTTACCATTCACTTTTTGTGCTAAGTACCTGAAGAAGTTTGGTCATACTACATATTCTGAAGAGCCATAGGCTGAAGATCACATGCTTAATCCACTAACAGCTAATGCCACCAAATCTGTCCATTTTCAAGTGTTTTCTTGTTTTCAGGATAAACTCTCCCATTCAGTTCAATACAGTGTTTTTGCTGCATCTAAACCAGTTTTAATTTCTTTCAATGTTTGTGCATAAGTCAGAATCCATTCTACTGTATGTCAATCTTTGCTTTTTTAGCAATTAATATACATTTCTCTATAAAGAGAGACTTTTTTCCACATTTGACTTCATGCTGTTATTGGTAATTTTTTATCTGTTTAGTCTTTCCTTTATAACATTTTGAAATAGAATACTGTACATGTGCTACTGGTCCTGGGCACCTTCACTAAAGCCCATGGTGATTACTTCTGCATATTATTTTGCAGAAACCAAACTAGACTATTTTATGTCTTTTTTTATTTTACTTGTTTAGACTATGTTTGCAAACTGTCCAGAGAGCCATTCTGGCTAATGGGCAGTGTACACATCCAATATTTTATTTTAAAGTATGTTCCTAGGATGTTGTCTTACCTGAACTTAACATATATTTTAGTCAGTTCTCTCTTCCTGTGACAGATTAATTTAAGGCAAAAAATAACTTAAAATGAATTCATGAAAACACTCCAAAGTCAAACATGACAGTATGGGTTGTGATTCATGTTTGTGGATTTATTTCACGGCCCAGCATCCTATGGTTGCTTCCACTTAAGGACTTTATGGTGTAATCATACAGCCTCATTCACATTTTTCTGATTAATGAGGAGTTCAGATGACAGTGTCTTCAAGTTGTAGCCCTACAGTGTTTTTCCACCACTTCTATCTTCTTACTGGGGGAAAACTGTTAGGGAAGAAAAGCCAGAATAGTTGCACTATGTCTTTTGAGTGTAATGATAGGAACCCTCTGTCTGGAAGCATTCAGCCAAATCCTAAGCATGTTTATTCATGAGTTCTCCTACTGTCTTCAGCTGGATTTATTTCCAAATCACTAAACCTTACATCCTATTCCTATGTATGCTTCATCGAAAATTAGTCCCATGCAACTTGTTCCCAAGTAAATGTGCATACTAAATATTCGGCAGCCTTAGTACAACTATATCTTAATTAATTCAAGATGAGTTCTCACGAACATGACTGTTCTTAAGATGGATAGATGCAGATTACACTCCTTCCTGAAGTAATATATTCCATGGGCAAAGCAGGGAAAAAGTACACCTGGTAAAACACTTTCTTGAGACCGTTCATCCCTGGGCACAGAGACATGAGAACCAAAGTGGGTTGTTACTGAAACATTTTAAGATAATGTATAGTTTGGTAGCTGAAATCTGATGGTGATCTATATGCATAATGAGAAAACAGTAGCCCACAAAACCTTATGCCAGAATAAGTTGCTAATCTTTAAGATGCCGCAACACTCATTCCTTGTTTGGCTACAACTTACTAATACAGCTTCCTTTCTGCTAAATAATGAAGAAGCACAACTCAGTGCTCAAGAATCTTAAGTAAGGGATGCAAGACAGCTGTACTGAGCAAGCAAGGTAACACAGATCTTTATCCCATAATTTGACTGGTTTGTTGACCAGTGCTTCCCCCAGAATTCTATACTTACTGATAGTTAAGATTTTACTGTGCTTAGTTTTGGTTTGCTTGCTTGCTTTAGGAAGTGTCCATAATTAATTGGATCCTAGACAGTCATACAAATTTAAACTAGTTTGAGGCCACAATCCTATGCATACCTTGAAAGTAAGCACATTGTACTTCATAGGAGCATGTGTGTAAAAAAGGATAGAATAGGTATAAAGGTGAAATACTATATATCTTTGCTTGAAAGCAAGTCCCACACTGGCTTACATCTAAACAAACATGGTCCAGATCAAGAAACTTACGTTTGCTTAATGTGAACATGCATAGAAGCTGAATAGGAAAATATATATTACATCTCAGAAAGATCTCCCAGCTTTGCCACTTCTGGGGCAGAGTATACCACAGACCCAAGCCAAGGGAAAGAAGCAACTGCTCCTCTTGTTGACTTTCACTGGGCACTACAGCAGTGGGTACTGGGTCCATAAAGCTGCCTAAAGGGAAGGTGAAAGCAAACTCCTCCACATGCTAACTGTCTGCTATCTCCATCGAGGCAGTGAAGTTTAGTAGGATGGTCACAGAAAGGGCAGCCTTCTCATCCTCTCACTTACTCACCTGCCTACCACCACCCTCCACCAAGTGGCAAGGTTTGGTCCAAATAAGCCCAGCCCTCCACCCATTGAGGAAGGGCAAATGATAAGGCAGCAGATGACTGAAACTTGTACAGAGAAACTGCTCCTTCCTCTTGCATTTCTTTGGTGGTGTAACAGAGAGGACTGGGTTCTCTGTGCAGCATCCTACTGCTGTGCTGCCTGGAAGAATTCAGGTGAGCCAGTGAGGTGGCTGCTTCTTCCACAACTATTGAGATAGTATGGGTAAGCAAGATGGGACTGCTTACCTCTGCTCCCCCAACCTTCAGCCAAATTTATCCTTGTCCAGAGGAAGTTAGCAAGAAAATGGGGGTAGGCACAGCCAATGTCATCTCCTGCTTGTATGTTTCATTCCATAAAAAGCCAGCCAGAGAGAGAAACCAGAAGAAGCAAGAGCTGTTTCTTGCAGGAGTAGCTGCTACTTCCACCATTGCTCACCTTTTCCTTCCCTCAGAAAGGTCTGGGCAAGAGATGGTAGCTGCTCCCATGATTAGACAACTGCACTCTGCCCCTGGAACTTGGTTCTTTGGGTGGTGCTGTGGGAGGAACTGGACTAAGCAATGCAATGAGAGCTAAGCCACAAGTGAGCAAAAGGTGGCTTGCTCATCCACCTCTCTCAAGGCATAGCATGGATGGTGGGCTAGTTGGACCAAATCCTGATGACCATGTCACTCAAAAACAGAGCAGAAGTGAGCAAGCAAGCCAATGAGGTGGCTGCTTCTTCCACTTGCACTCCCTATGAGGCAGATAGAGATCTTTTAAAAACGTATTATTGTTTTAATGACTTTAAAATGTATTTGTTACCCTTGCTGTTGTTGCTAGTCGCGAAGTCGCATCTGACCTATTGTGACCCCATGGCCAACATTCCTCCAGGTTCTCCTGTCCTCCACCATCCCCCGGAGTTCACTTAAGCTCATGCCAACTGCTTCAGTGACTCCATCTAGCTACCTCATCCTCTGCCGTTCCCTTCTCCTTTTGCCTTCCTTTATTCCCAGCATCAGAGTCTTTTCCAATTAACCCTTCCATCTCATTAGGTGGCCAAAGTATTTGAGTTTCATCTTCAGTATCTGGCCTTCTAAAGAGCAGTCAGGGTTGATCGCCTCTAAGACTGGTTTGACATCCTTGCAGTCCAAGGGACTTGCAGGAGTCTTCTCCAGCACAATTCAAAGGCTTCAATTCTTCCACACTCAGTCTTCCTCGTGGTCCAGCTTTCATAGCCATACATTCAAAGTCACCCCTAAGCACCATTTTTTTCAGGCAAAGATATAAAAATGATCAACAAATACAGTGCATGAGTAATCACACAGTACTGCTCACTTCCTCTCCAGGCAGCACAGAGGAGTTAATCCTTCCTGCTCTGGTACATGAAAGAAGCGAGGAACAGCAATTTCTTGTTTGCATGTGGCCCTAGGGCAGCTGAATGTGGAAGGGGACCCTGGAGCTTTCTGACCTGGGAATCTCTCTCCTGCTCCACTTTTTCAGTCTCAGCTGCAGGGAAAACAAGGCACTGTTGTGTTTACCGCTCCCTCTCACCCAGCTAGCGTCTTTCCCTTCAGAATAGAAGGGGCTGGGTCAAGCACCCTTTCCCAAACGCTTGCCTAAAGTTAGGCACATGCGCACTGCACTTTACGGAGAAAAGTGGGATAGAACGCGAGATTAATATCTGCTGCGCCAGAGAAAGCGGAAGGGGCAGAGGCGAGCCCTGTAGCCCTTCCTGAAATTAAGGGCGCCGGTGGCTTCATTCTCGGCTACCGCGCATGCCCACACAAGATAATCGCAAACTCAGCAACAGCTAGGGGGAGCCAACTCTGGAAGGAGGTTGACCGGTAGTCTTAAACCCTAGCTCTCCCCCCGCCCCCCCCCCCGGCCTCTCACCGCTACTTCAACCCCTTCGCTTCCCCCTCGCCCCTGACGCAGAATCAGTGCTCCCCGGGTGTCCCGTCCTCGTAAGCTCCCGCTCTGCAGACGGGTGAGTAAGAGACTGCCGAAGGCGGCGGCTCCGCCTCGCGCGCTGCGCGGCACTCCGGCTCTTGCCTCTGCGGTGCGGCAGCGATGACAGTGGTGGCGACTGATGCGGGGGCGGGGAGGGTCTTCGGCGGCTGTTAGCCCCGTCCTCGGGGGAGGCGGGAGGAGGGAGCGCGCGCGCGCCCCCTGCCCCATGTGACTCTCCCGGGGGCTTTGGCCGCGGGGCTCTTGGTGGAGGAACAGCTGGCGGAGCCATGCCTGGCGCGGGGCTGCTGCAGCCCATCAGGAGCTGCCCTTTCAGCCAGGATTGCGCGGGCAGGTTGAACAGCGGCACTGGGGTCTCTCTGACGGCAAGCTTGGCATCGTGACACGAAAGCCAGTGTGGTGTAGTAATGAAATGTTGGGCTTGGACTGAGAGGACCTCGGTTCACATCCTGACGCCGTGCGCTTAGGCCTTCGTTATTGCCCAGCTTGTCGAAATTTTCAGGGGCTGTGGGAAGCACGAAATTGCCCGGAGATGGAGAACTGCACACATCAGTCTTCCCCAGGGTGGTGCCTTCCAGATGTGTTAGACTACAACTCCCAGCATGTCCTAGCTAGCCATGGGGCACACCGGGACTTGTAATCTGAAACATCTGGAGTGTAGCAGTTTGGAGAAGAATGATATACAGGTCCTTTGGTTCCTTCTGGAAATAATTATTGTTTTCCCTTAACCACCGTCTAAAAGAAACCTATAAGTACTACAAACATGGGAATATTGCAGCACACCTGGAGTTGGAAAGGACAAAGTTCTGAGCTTTCTCCAGACTCTAGAAACACAATTTTGCAAAACTGAGGACTTTGGTTCATATCCTAGGCAAAGAGACTTGGTTATGGAGGAGTCAATTCATCCTATGACATACTAGCAAAGAGTAATGTTCAGGCTTTATCCTTGCTTAGCAGAGCTTGGCCATTCTGTTTTTTCAATTGTTCTACTATAATATGATACCTGTCAAAAGATAGTACGACACTAATGTGCACCACATTAAATATGCTTTGAAATATTTATAACAGGTGATCAGTTAACTTAGCAGTTGGTGCTGGGTGATGTATTCAGAAAGTTCTGAATATTTTCTTGGAATGGATACTTGGCCTTAGATAAACACTATGAGCAGAATGTAATGTTCTACTTGCAAAATGGGACTTTCCCTCTTTTCCTTTAGCCTGCAAACACACCGTGTCCTCCGGTCTGTGCTGGAGGCCTGCTGATAGGTATGGGGATTTTCCCCGTCATCTTCTGCTGATGGAAAATATAATTGTTACCCTGTTGTTTTTCTTGCAAGGTGACATATTGAGAAGTCCTGGGAGCTGAGAGGCTTCCCATGGCTTCTCCTTCTTCCCCTCAGGAGTCCATGTCTTCCTGGCCTTGAAATGTCCACCAAGAACAGCTGCCTTTTTAATTCCCAACACCATGTTAAGGATGGATTGGATGAATTGCATTTCATCATAGTCAGAAAATGAATATAAGAGTGAACTGAAACTTAGCATTATAGGAGAAATCAGTTTAAGGAAAGTCCACCCAGATTTGAGGCTCAAGGGTAAGAGATGGCTTGATTATATGAATTTAAAATTTGATGAGTGAAGTCCAGTTTTCATTCTCATAAACTTTGCATTTTGGGATGAACTATTTGAAGAGTCTCACTGGGGGAAGGTTTACTACATGTTGACCTGGCTTGCAGGTAATAACAGCCCACAATACAGATTGACTATGGGCTGAAAATGGGTTAATGTTAAATCATGGCTTGTTGAATCCGGGGTTGACATTCAAGCACCTCACTGTGGTTTAACTATGGATTGGTAACCATGGCTAGCCTAGAGTTCATAACAACAACAACAACATACCATGAGTTTTCTTCCCAAATTATTCATAGTTAACCACCTTTAGTTAAACAGTAGTGCAGGGTTTGCATGCAAGAACAACCTACAATTCAGTGATAATCCATACTGTGAGTTATCTATGTGTGAACCAGGCTGGTAGCAGTATAACATCGTTGTAGCTTTTATTAAAAATGCATTCTTCTTCCAGCTCATTTTATCTCATGATAAGGTCTTTCTGCCCAGAACATTCCTACAGAAGCGGTAGAATGCAACTAAATTGCATTCTTTTTATTTAAGCGGCATTTTAACTGTTAGTATTATTTGATCTTATCTGGCCAGGGTGGCTTATTTTATATTGTATTTTTTGGATTTTTAATGTTTATATTTATTGTAATTTATTGTTGTAAGCCGCCCCGAGGCTTCGGCGAATGGGGCGGCATAAAAATGTTTTAATTAATTAATTAATTAATTAATTAATTGTGCTGTTTATCATGGAAATGTAATAGAATAGAGGAAAGGGGTTTTAAGGATAAGCATTTGTTATCCTTTTTTTTGCACAGACAATTATTCTTCATTCTCATCTCACAATTTTGTTCAAGTTTTATACATATATTTTCTGTATTCTTTGTTTAATCTTATATATTATAGTTTTAACAAGCCACATTTAAACAAATACTATCATAATAAAAAATAAATATAAAAATATATTTTCCAACAGCATAAGTTATAATTTTAAGAAGATCCCATTGATTCCTGAGTATAGCTGATAAACAATCATATAAGTTTTAATACAGAGGAAAATTGAATGAAAATGTCATTAAAATATTTGCATGTAAAGAAAAATCAAAGTTCTAAACCAAGCTGAATTACACTGAAATTTTAATTCCAGTTCATTTTCCCTTTTGCTTCATGTTTATTGGACCTTGAACCTATGGTCAGGGCTTATCTCATTTCTTAACATATGTACAGTGCTTAATTTTTTGGGTACTATATAAGCATTAAATCATAGTTACAATATGGGTATCTTTCATCATTTTATAAATCACTTGCAGTGTTTAAAACCATTTATTTTTAATCATTGGCAGTCAGAAGCCTCCAAAGTCAACCTCAAACTACAATGACATCATGGCAAGATTCCGCAGGAGAACATGTATTATTTTGTTGCTTTTCATTTTATTTATTTGCTCCATAATGATGGCCTTGAAGACTCTCAGACCTGAAAGAGCAGTGTTTGGAGATCCATTTGGCCTTGGCCTTTTCCCTGATTTTCAGCAGCGAACAACACACTTAAAAAGCAAGTTAAGTCTGCAGAACAAAGCTAAGGAAGATAGCTTCACACAAACTAAAAATTTACATCCATTGACAATGAACATCAACCCACCTACAGTTTCTGGAGGACAACTGGACAAAGACCTACCTTCTCCAAATTACAGCTTCCATGTGTTTTACTACAGCTGGTTTGGGTCTCCACAGTTTGATGGGAAATACATTCATTGGAACCATCCATTGTTGACACACTGGGATGCCAAAATTGCAAGTGGTTATCCAAGAGGAAGACATAATCCCCCAGACGATATTGGGGCCAGCTTCTATCCTGGACTCGGCCCTTACAGTTCCAAAGACCCCTCTGTTATAGAAGCTCACATGAAGCAGATTTTATCAGCTTCCATTGGTAAATAGATACTTAATTTTATCATGGGGTTGGCATGGATTTATTTGAAATCAGATTTTGCTTGAATTGTTTACATTTTACTTCTATGTGATAACATGCAGAATTTTTACTTCCTTTTTATGCCTACTAGCTATATTATTCTGCTTAATATACAAACATTCACTGAATCACAAATCTCTTTTACTCACTGAGTGAAGAAAAATGTCTTAAGTCTAACAATGTAGAAGACAAGCTTATGAATTGCTCTGTTATCTTTAGTCTGTTCTGTTGAGGATGTTTGTTTCTATATCTAAACTCAGACTGGCTCACTAACCGTGATTTATTTGGGACTGATAAATCAGGAACCACAGCTTGAAGCTAGTTTGGCAACCACTGTTTACGTTGATTGTGCTTTCCCATTTCAGCCAAACTAAGGCATCCTGGCTTGTCTCTTGTACCATTTTGAAGCTTACCTGACTTCAGAAACACAAGCATAGAGTGGCTGAAAACAGAACCACTTTTGGATGCAAGGGGCTCTTGCTGGCACCTTCAGAGAGCTCACCCTCCCTCCCAAGTCTGCTTGGCAGCAAGCTTTTTTCCCTATCTACCTCCTTATTGTCAGGCTTCCACTAGGCTGAGTGCCTAAGTCTGAAGACAGCTTGTTAGGGTGGATCTTAATGGTTCCACCATAGATTGTTCAATGATATTTACCAAGGAAACAGAATTGAGTGCTTCTCTAAACAGCATTTTAAGAAAGCTCACCAGATTTATTTGTGCACCTCTTGTCCTTCCTTTCTCCACAAGATATAATTGCACGCTTAGGATTTCATGGAACTAGGATTAGCCCCAGAACAAACAAATGTGATCTAAGCATCTCATCCCCACCAGTGCTGTCTCCTGTCATTCCTGCAGATGCACAGAAACACATTCATGCAGAGTTGACAGCAGCATAATTCGCACCTTGTAGATCAATCTCCAAGTAGCCGAGTCCTCCCTGCATACAGCTATTATCTGTCTGGTAAAGCCCCAAGCCAACAATTGGGTGGAAAGTGCCTGCATGGTATTATCCTACCACGTGGTGATATGGATTATTTTTATCTAGATATAATGCTAAGATGTGATTTACACTGAAGCTGCAAATAAAGCAATTCAAGGTGGGCTAGAAAAAGAGGAGTGGATGCATTACTGCATCCCAGCATCTTTTGCCTTATGTGGGCCAGAGCAAAAGGCCAGAGTTGCTTTTTCACTACACTAGTTCCACCCAGCCTGGACATAGCTAAGGGGCTGACGAATCTGCAGGGCCATGGATCCAGTGAATTAAAAGGCACTGACTGCCAAGGAAAAGCAATGTTCTGGAGCTCCCCACCAACTACCAAAGGTGCTAGTTTTCTATCCACAGAGCTTGCCTAGTTTCTTTCAGGAAGCTTGCTCTGGAGGTAAAATCACACTCGGAATTAGGAATGTTTTCATGAAAGTACAGAGGAAATACATTAACTGATACCTGAAAATGACTAAATACACTTTTCATTGTAATGTTTTTATTCTTTCTAGAAATATTGAAATTGAAATCTCAAACTATGGGCACATTTCTTGCTTGCTTAACTCAGAAAATACATTTTAATCACATTCAATCTTTTTCCATTTTTTGCTGACTTAGGCACCCAAGTTAAAAAAAAAACAATTTTTCCCCCTTAGGGGTATTGGCACTTTCCTGGTATCCACCTGGTATGGCAGATGAAAATGGAGAACCTACTGATGGCCTGGTGCCTACAATTTTGGATATTGCACATAAGTACAAGTTAAAGGTATGATATAATAAGTTTTAGACTTAGCAAAACTGTAGATGTGAGGGATTCATTAAGTGGGGAGTCTTCACTATTAGCAGAATTTAGGCTACAAACTTATGTTCACAAAGGTGGCATGCTGTTGAATTCAGTTTAACTTATTTCTGAATAGATGCTTAAGTATTGCATTGTTAATTGTTTACTTTCATGTTTTAATTTCAGCCAAAGGCGTTTGTTTGGCTTTTTGTATGCTGCCCCATTCCCACAGACTTTGGGCTGTTTACAAAAAAGTTGTGTAATGCTGCACTTTTAAGTACTATAAGACAAATATATTTAAGTCGGTTGGAAGCAACCCTGTTCTATGGGTCAAGTTTAGAATAAAGACTTTCATACCACTGCATCTCAAGAACAACTTGCCATATACATGTCTATTCAGAAGCAGCTGGATTCTGTGGGACTTACAAGTAAATATATAGAATTTTTTACATAATTACTTCTGAATAAGCCCCATATAATACAGTGGGACTTACTTCTGAGTAGACATAAATAGAATAACACCATTATTGTACGGAGGACGAAACATGGTTATTTCTTTGGATGGGCTTTAATTTGTTTTAAATTGTCCCAATGCTAAACTTAGTGCCTTCACTAAACTGAAAATTCCATAATTTGGATCCTCATTGGGCTGTTTGTACATTCCTTCCTGTTATCCCAGCGCCCCAAAAATCATATTTCTGTAAAGTTTCCTTAATCCTGTTTAATGCATTCTTTTTGGGCATGGGTGATACATGGTTCACGGTCAGGTTTGAACTTTGGAGAAGGAAGAATGATAACTGGCTTCAGTTCTGACTTCAACTTATTTTCTATCCTGAAGCAATTCTTTTTAACCAGAAAAACAAAATCCTACAACCCTATCTGTGACTACTGGGCAGTATATAACTGTAATAAATAAAAAAGTAATTGTTTCATCTTTCAGGTTGCCTTCCATATTGAACCATACAAAGATAGAGATGATCACACTATGTACAGCAATGTCAAATATATCATTGACAAGTAAGGATTTCTGAAATATTTAAATATTAGCATCACTTCATCTTGTCCAATATTCTTCAGGTGTCTTTGTTTTCTGTGTGTCTCATGCCAATTTATCAGCAGAAGATGTAGTTTCATAAACTGATATATTTTTAATTGAAATTGTCTGGATGAACTTTCTTTGTTTTAAATCTGAGAGATTAGGGACAGCTGCTAGTTGCCTTTTGTCATCTTTATCGTGGTGTCTTAGGGTTATCTTTCATATTATAAACCTCACATGATCTGTAGTTAGCCTTGACTAAGAGAAATACGGGATTAAAGGCATAGTAATAGAGTAATTTTGTCTTCATATTATGAGAGATTTAATTAAAATTAACATAATTCCATTGCCACCTGTAATTTTTTCTCATTATATATTTTACTAATGATAGTGCCACATTTCAGCAGAAATATAATTGAGGGAAGGAGGAAGTTTGAGGAATAACTTTTAACTTTCATTAGAAAAAAAATAAAAAGAAAATTTGCTTGATTTATTTGCTTCTTTGTTTTATAGATATGGAGATCATCCAGCTTTTTATAGACATAAAGTCGGCAAAGGTAGAAGCCTTCCCATGTTTTATGTTTATGATTCTTACATAACAATCCCTGAAATCTGGGCAAATCTACTTACTGTATCAGGATCCCAAAGCATACGCAATACACCATATGATAGTTTATTCATTGCCCTTCTTGTGGAAGAAAAACATAAGCATGACATCCATAAAAGTGGCTTTGATGGAATTTATACATATTTTGCAACAAATGGCTTCTCTTATGGATCAAGCCACCATAACTGGCCAAGTCTGAAAGCTTTTTGTGATACAAAAAACCTAATCTTTATTCCAAGTGTGGGACCAGGCTATGTTGATACCAGCATCCGACCGTGGAACAGCCACAACACACGGAACCGTGTCAATGGCAAATACTATGAGACTGCATTCAGTGCTGCACTTCTAGTACGACCCGAAATCATTTCCATCACCTCTTTCAATGAATGGCATGAAGGGACTCAGATTGAAAAAGCCATTCCAAAGAAGGCTGGAAAGACAACTTACCTAGATTATCAGCCTCATAAACCAAATATTTATCTGGAACTCACTCGCAAATGGTCTGAAAAATATAACAAAGAAAAAGAGCAGTGGCTTACTTGAAGTGCTGCTGCAACAAGGAACACATAATTGTGTCTTGCTGATAACTTGAGAACATTTTTACTTGTGAGGGTGTAGTCTGCACTGTGTGACTGTGGGGTTGGTTTTTTAAAGTTTTCACTTTAAGGAGTAAAGGTAACCATGGCAAGCGATACAAGTTCTTCATTTCTTTAAGTATGACTGTACATAGTCATATTCTGTGTATTACAATATACTAAATATACTTGTTTCCTCAAGTAGAACAAAGCAGAATTTATTTCAACTTGGGTGGCAGCCCATGTAGTTCTATAGAATATTTGCACACACCTGGACTTCTTAGTTTCCCCCTGTCCAGAAGAAACCTTTCATACTGCTCCTCATTTGCTTTAAATTAGGTTTAGAAGTGGCTTCCAGTGCAGTGTGAGGAACAAAGTGAAATATCCCCAGGTGCTAGTATAGAAGGCCTCCTATGAAACTTCTTAGATTAGGGAATAGAAACAGCTGTGAAAAAACAAGCAGTTGTAGTTCCTTTAAAATTAATGCATACCTGATGCATGCAACTGCTTATCCCATGATAAAGTGCAGAATCTGCTTAGAATTATTTTCAGCTCAAGAACCACTTAAAAATCGGAAATGTGAAAGAACATAGCCTGCTTTTCCTGTGCAGCCCTCTTTCATTAATTGCACAAAGCCAGAATATTTCTTTTGTATTGTTCATGGAAGTTAAAAATTCCTATCTTTATATTTGCATTTGCTTTCCTAGAAATGATGAGTGTTACACCGTGATATTCACAGTTAGCAGTAGTTTCAGTTAGGCTGTTTTAAGAAATGTTTACTAACGTGTCATAGCATCATGTTAAGATATGAAAGCCCCAAATGGACTGTTGTTTCCGTTTGCACACTTGTGGAGGAGCAGCAACTCTTCTTAAAGCAGCCTTTGTTCTGTGCTCTCCAGAAGGCATTCTGATCTTGAAATAAACTTGCTGGGCTTGGAGGTGAATCTCCAGTAGGTAAGAACTCTCATAGGCAAGTAGAGCAGTCATTGACATTTGAAATTGATCCCAATCATCGGAATCAGTTCCAAAGAAGATAAAATACTCCCACTTTTTATACTGCTTTAACAAGATGTAATTTTACAGAGAAAAACTTATTTTCAAAATACTATTTTAGAAGGATGCTTAGTCATACACATGTGGGGAGGAGGCTTAACACTATTTTAGAAGCATCATCCTTTTCCAGTATTGCATTTATTATCTATTCCTAAGTGAAATTGAATATAGCAATTTCAACTGGGATTGCCTAGGATAAAAACTGAAAACATGTCATGGGTATAAGTGCAGTTCGTTCACTCACATTTTTAATTGGTGCACTCTTATTAAGCAAAACTGAGGATGCTTCTAGACAGTTTGCTGCTAGCATCATTGATTCAAAGGATTTTATAGCTACTCTTTCTTTTCCTCCTCAGTGTTGTGTTTTGTTTTGTCTGGTCTTGTTTTTTGTGGGGGTTTTTGTTGTTGTTTTTTGGTTTTTGCGGGGCTTGAGAAAAAAAGATGGAGGAAATAGTGGAATAAAACTCAGAATTGTTACAAATGGAAAATTATGTCTGGCCACCTTTTTAAAAAAAATTGCATTAATGAGTTTGGGCAATGACACAATAAAAGCCTCATCTTGGAGCTTTTATTTATTAGTTCTTGGTTCCTTTTACATGTATGCACTGACTTGAGAAAGGAATTAGAAATACAACTGCAAAGAGATACTTCCCTTATATAAATCAGTGGTGTGACCACACTTCAAATACTGTATGCAGTTTTGCTCACCACACCCTGAGAAAGAAAATTATAGAATTGGAAAAATGGCAACTCTGCTAATCAAGAGGCCAGAGCAACTCACCTATGAGGGAAGGTTACATGTGGTATAGTTTAGCTTAGAAAAACTTAGGTCTAAATGTACATACAATAGACCTATAGAAAAGCATACATGGTGTGGAGAAAGCAGATGAGGAAACACATTTCTCTCTTTCTCAATACTGGACCCTGAGGTCATTCGATGGAGTTGATTGGTGGGAGCTTCAGGATAGATAAAAGTATTTCTTCACATAGTTCTTCGTTAACAATGTGAAATTTAGTTACACTCTAATTCACTACCGCAAGATGTAGTGATCGCCACCAGTTTGGATGGCTTTTAAAAGGGATTTGAGAAATTCACAGAGAATAAGGTTGACGAATGCCTGCTAGTCCTAAGGCTGTTTAGAGTGTTGGACTGGGGACCCAGGAGATCTGGTCCCCAGCCAGCCATGGGCCAGTCACAAACTTTCAGGCCAACCTACCTCATGAGGCTGCTGCTGTGAAGATAAAATGGAGGTATGTAAGCCACCTTAAGTTCCTCTCAAAAGGAAAAATGGTGAGCTATAAATGCAGTGTAGTGGTAACAATAGTAATAGCGGTATGCCTATGTATGCAAGTTGCTGGAGGACTTTAGCAGCAGATGCTGTTGAACACGCATCCTTTTTGTGTGCTTCCTGTGGGCAGCTGGTTGGCCATTATGTGAGTAAATGGGGTGTTAGATGGCTCTTTGGTCTGATACTTCATAGCTCTTATGCTCCTGCATCTCAGGATGGAAATGAAGAACTGCTTACATGCATGCACCCCTTGTCCAGATCCCTTTTAGTTATTGTTTCCTGTGAACATACCTTTTAGCAATCTGAGAGAAGGTTTACGTTAAAATAATTAGAATAAAAATATACAAGAAATCCATTAAATTACCCCCTTTTATATAAATTTTACATATGAGGGGTGACTTTATTGTAGGGCTCTTTTCTAATGTGCTGTTCTTCAGTTTTAGCCTTTGGTGAGAGACCTGTACAACAGGATCACCTGTGCTTTGAGCCATTCCTCAGTAAGAGTATATCTTAGGAAGTTGTGGTTTTCACTGAGTGCCTTAGGATGTCTAAATTAAAAGTGCCTCTCTGCTGAGCTCCCATCACACTTATCTGAAACTCACTACCAACACTCACTGATTCAGTGTATATTTTATGATCTTGGTTTGGCAAATTTGAAAAATGTGCAGTGCTACATTGTAGCAGAGATGCAGGAGGATTGGCGTTTTCCCACTGCTTGGTTTGAAATGGACAAATCTTGACAAACCTAACTATTTTCACTTTTTTAAAAAAATGATCATTTCTTTTCTTTGCATCCCGTTCTAAGCTCAGTTAGTAAGCCTCGTGCTTTTTAGTGACTTCACTGTGAGTATAATGGGTACTAAGTATTTTATTCCCTGTAGCATTCCTCCTTCCAACACCCTTGGCTCCAAAAGAAATCTACATATCCTGTGGTTTCAGGCATGATGAGGCCAGAAAAGAACTTGTAAGAATATATTCCAGTTCTATAAATCCCATTCCACTTTTGCTTTCAGGCACTGACAAATCGTTTGAGAATTCATGAAGATTTTTATAGCCACACTTCCACTTACCATTTCCCTTGCAGCTATCCTAGGAAGAGCCAAGCCAGCTGCTTTTCAAGAGCAACCTTCAACAACCTCATTGAGGTTGAAAAGGAGGCATTCTGCAGGGATAAGAGGGCCCAGAATCTTGTAGTTCCATCTCGCTTTTGTACCCACTGCCAGTAAGTGAGAAGAGCACAGTGGCCTTTTTAAGAGGGATGGTGGCAGTTGAAAGGAGGAGGAGGAAAGAGAGCCGGAGTCATCTCTGTCTTCCTACCCTGATGGCAACTGCCTGGCAGAGCATAGACTATCTCTGCACTGCCAGACTTCTGTCTAGTCTAATACATTTTAGCAACCCAACCAATATTATTCTGACAGCCATTCATCTATTTCACTAGAGTTCCATTCTTTTACTGAGCTTTTGGTGGGACCTTCAGTTTTACTGAGCTGTATGTATTTCAGTGACCTATGTTATCCTCTGAGATGCTTACTAGAGATAATTACCTGAAAAACATTAATTATGACATCGAAACTTCTAGGCTTCCATTATACTGTATTGCCATTGGCATCCATTCATTGTTATTAATGAACTTATGAAATGCACATTTTTGCATAGAAACATAAAGTATTAAAAAACTTTCAGTTTCAAATTTTTCACCCCACATCACTGTTTCTGAGTAAACAGGAATAGTATTGCATTACCAGTCTCTTACTAAATTATTTAAATATATGCAATTAAATAAAAGGGGGTCACCAGATTATTGGCTATGAAAACTTTACTATTAGAAATGGAACAGAGATAGCAAATTGCTAAAAGACAGAAGGCTCATAAACCATTTGGGACAACTTAGAATTGTTGGACCCTGGGGGAAAACAACAGGGGCAAGAATTACTGAAGAAACTGCAAGCTGTGCATGGATGCACTATTCTCAGTAATGGGATTTAAAGCCAAATAGAATTTTACTGTGGCAGTTGTAAGCATGCTTCCTTGAGAGCCACTCAAGATGCTGCACCATATAGACACACTGTCTTTTTGTACTGCTAGCTGTGCACAATCATGGCCAACCACATGTACAGGCAACTAACAAATAGGCATATAGGTGATTCGCACACCAGATACTTTTTCTACCTGCAAGTATTTTCTCTGTAGGAAGCTTTTGAAGCATCTTTATACTGGAGACCACAACCTAGTTTTCCTATTTTAGACCTCTTTTCATTGAGATCTGTTAATCTCATTGAACTGTCTGAAACCTACCCAGCCCCACAGTGAGCTTTTAAGGATGCTTGAAGCAACAGTTACTTGTGAATTTACATATCTTGGCATTGTCTTTTACTTTGAAGATTTCTTAGTCCTTATGGAAATGGATTTCCCATATGTAACTAAAACAAACAGCATCGATCCCAACTGGGTCAAATTAGTACTGCAAGAACTCTGTCTTAAAAATATCTCTTTCTGTGTTGGTGTACATTTCCTGAACTGTAAACCATACTATTTTTAAACCTTGAGAAGGAACTACCCAATCTTTACATGGTTAATATTTTTATTAGTTATATACATTCTTAATTAAGTGTATTTGATTAAAATTGAAATTTATGCATCTTGTGCAATTTCTGTGACACATTCAGTGTAATATAATATAATTGAATTTATATTGTCCCATGTGCCACTGAGTATACCCACCACTGCTCTTGTATAATCTTTTGCTGTACACAATTTGTGTTCAACTTAAAGAAATTTAAAATATTTTGCATGTCTCAGGAAATCTTATTTACAGAAAGCACTTAAAATAATAAAATACTACTGCATACTTTGTAATGTAATTAACACTTGAAGTAAGGACTGCAAACATTTCCAAGCTATGTTTAACAAATAAATTTATTGAGTTTCTGTTATTGTGTGGTCTCATAATATTTAGTTGAAGCAACTGGAAAAGGCGTACCATTCTGTCTGTTTGGAGCATTTTGTATATCCTGAGTTTTCACACTTTGGGCTTTGTGCTTATAACTCTGGATCATACATGGGAGAACTTTTCCTGGTTCCACAACTGTCTGCCTGGTTCACCTTCCATAGGCAAAATGTTTCCTCTCCTTCTGTAGGGTTCAGGCTTTAGCAGAATATTTGTAGTAGCAGTGGGGCTGAACTGTTGAGACATGATACAGCACAGTGGGAGGCCAAGGCCGCAGAAACCCAGTAGCTGTGATCTTTTGGGCATTATTATATTCCCAACCCAGCCTCCTACTGAGGAAAGGGTCTTCTCTTTCTCACTCCACCCCTCACACCAATCACAATAACCCTTTGTGGCGGTAAAGCTGATAGTGTCACCTGAGATTGGCTGAGGGGGATTTTGTCAAGCATATCTAACTATGTTAAGTATGATGTTATACCAAAGGCTGGATATGTACCTAATCTCTTTTAAGTAGTCAGGTTTCATCTCCCACAAGAGTTGCTTCTTTTGCCATCTTTGTAAGTGGGTTTTATTCCTTTACTAAATAGAAACAAAGATCATTACTTACTTTCTCTCTTGACAGGGTGTGAAATTGGGTCTATGGTAAAAATAACTATTATTTTCCTAACCCTCTCCTTCCTACCTCTGTAGGGATCCCTGGTCCATCTACTAAATTTACGGGCGTATTAACTGAACTGCACTTAATATTGAAGACTAGTGGAGGGCTTGTCATAAGTCTGAGTGATTTAACTTTTTCTTTTCCAGTTTCACTGTCATTTATATAAGCTCTTTGGAAGAAGAAACTGTTTGAGATGGGGGTGGGTGGATTGCTTGGTAGGCAAATGAGGAAAAACAGAACCACTGTGGAATTCAGCTGGGAAATATTAGGGCAATTCTTGCCCATGAATGTAATTGTGTGATTATTTAAGTGAAATTCTTGGCTGGTACAACTGAATGATTGGTACTGACTTCATTAGCAGAAAGATTGAGCGATTAGAGACTAGAGCAACAAAACAGGTAGCGGTTGTCAGTTTGTATTAATAAAAAAAAAGTATGAGTTTAAATGTTAAAGGCTATATTTGCCACTTGATGGAGAGAAGCAGGTCCACACATAGCCCGGAACGTAAAACTGGCAATGAATTATTGAACAAAAGTAAATGGCATTATATGTGAATCTAATAAGTGACATTAACAGAAAAACTTAGGCTGAATGTCACGCAACAGTATTATTGTGCAAAATAATTCCCCAAGGGACAAGTTTCATAGCTTGAAATCTTAAAACTAAATGAGATAAAATGTTTGTGAAAGGTAATAGAGGAAAGAAACTACACCAGCATGCTAAATAGAATAGCCTGCAATTTTTGGACCCAGTAACAATTTTCCATCCATTTATTCCAGTATATTGAATGCAAGTAGACATATTCTGTGTTAAAAACAGTTGACAGAAAAAAGAAAAAAAATCTACATGTGAGTTACAAATCTTTTAGCAGGCTTTTAAGATACAGCCTTTTCTTTTTATGAATGGTTAAATGTCTTCTTAAGAAAACATTAACTATGCCAAGCTGTACACCAAACGATATTATGTAGGTAAGACTATTATGCTTTGGTATTTTTAATGGTAATTTTATTTAGCAATTTAGTATGTTTTAAATTTTAATAATTTAATGATTGTAAGTCACCATGGGTCTTATTTAAGGAAAGAAGACTAAGAAATAACAAAAGGCTAGGACTGGAGCTGCTCAAGTTTGAATCTCAACAGCAACTGAGTCATCTTAGGTCAGTCACTATCTCCCAATCTAACATACTTCACAGATCCTAGCTTCATTCTTCAATGGGGTGGGAAAGTATTCTAGTACTCTGCTTGAAATCATAGAGAGCTACTACCACTTAGTGCTGACATTACTGGGCTAGACAAATCAGTGGTCTGATTTGGTACAGATAGCTTCCTAACTCTTAAAGATTATTGTTGCATCTAGACAGTACCATCTACTGTGACTGGCAGTGAAATTCCAAGTTCCATTGTCTTTCTGAGCTCTTATTCCAAAACCCCTTCCACTGGAAATGGCAGCAACTTTCTTCAAGCACCTTGGAGGATAAGTGAAATAAACACAATTATAAATTAATATAATTCATGTTTTGCCAGCTGCAAGCAGCACTGACCTGTTACAGTTTGCTTATGGCAAAACATGATGGAAAGGGTTTCACTATGACTGTGACCTGCTACTGGAGATGTGTAAGCCCCTTTAGGTTCCCTTCAGGTGGCCTAGAGATTTTTCCAAAGCAGCCAGGACAAAAATTGGGAAACCTTAGAAAATGTCTAAGCCAACCTGAGTGTTCAGGAGGTTGTTGTCCAACCAGCTTCACTTCCACTCATGCTCCAATGCACGCCTGCTTTTCCTTCTTACATTGCCAGTGGGAAAGTTGAAGGTTTTTCCCCTTCACCTTTCCATCTATCATTGTACATCGAAGTAAGACAAAGCCAGAAGGCTATGGAATTTTAATTCTTCCAAAGAATTGTATAGGTTCATGTGCATCACCTAGCTAAGCGCATCCCTGGGTCTAGGGATAAGAATGGTGGCACCCTGAATTTTCCATCTCAGATCAAAACCCAAGTTGGAGGAGACTTGTACCTTGCTTTTGAGCTTGGTTTTAGCAAGTTTCTTTCCAAAGTTTATCTCAAATACTAGCTGAGGATCAGTTAGCCACCATCTGTTGCTTAGAAACTTTTTAAATCAAGACTAGACTGCAGTCATCTGAGACTGCTATTTTAACACTTAGAAGTTTCGTATGGTTTAGAACATGATCCGTCAAGTTGTTGCTTCATAGATAGCAGATTTTAAACCAGTGATCCTGTACATATTAGTTCCATACTAGCTCTGCACAGTCAATCTACATGTGTGCAGTCTTACACACAAGGAAGCAGAATGCAAATGAGTGTGCGAACTCTGTCCTCCACCATCACATTCTCCTTGCCTGGAAAATGTAGCAAAGGATTGTCTGCATCGTTGTGCTACTTCAGTCCTGCAGGGGTATGTGTGCGTTGTGAGTAAATGAATGCTGTGTGGCTGACTAGGATATGGCCTTCAGAACCATACTTAAGAGACTCAAGCCATTGCTATGGAAACACAGCATGATATCTCAAATCTCTGGCTTCCTCATAAAGCAGTGAGATGATTCAGAAAATAAAATTAACAAGCAAACAAGTCGAGGCTCCATTGCTCCAGGGGAAATAGGGAGAAAAATGTAAAAAAAATGCACTATTGTGAATATTAATAGGTCTCAGCTGGGAAAGTCTGAATGGAAAATTTTATGCAAATGCCTCAGCAATTTATTTATTTATTTTTATAACACCGGTAGATGACATTATCTGGATGGTTTACAATAAAGTATAAAAACAATAAAATATAATAGATAAAACAATAACAAGAATTAAAATTAATTTTAAAAAGCATAAAACATTACAAAACAATAAAAAGACAATAATAAAGACAGGCACCTGATTAATTGTGTCAGGTCCCTGAATGACCAGGGAGGTCTTTAAAAGCCTCTGCAAAAAGGGCTGTCTTAACCAAATTTTGTGCCAACGAAATTATTCCAAAGATGGGGGGGCACAGAAAGGGACCCCCTCCCCAGTTGTCACCCTCCAAGCCTCTTGAGAGGTTGGGACCCAGAGGAAGGCCCCAGAGGTTGAGCATAGTGTCTGGCTAGATAAGGGTTGAGAAAGCAGGTAATTGTTGCTTTCCGTTGTGCTTAGATGCTTGGATTAGGCCTGTAGATGCCAGTGACTCCTTGCTTCACTGATATTTAAAAACAAAAGTATCCTATTGGTTTGGATAACTGCTCTGATTAATGAAACCCTTGGTCTCATAATCAAGTGTTTCATTCAGAACTAAAGAAGTAAAAATACAAGCCCATAAAACATATCTTTCTGCACATTTTAGAAATCACTTTCAAGCTATTAATGAAAGTAATGCTTGTTTCATTGATAGTATGAAGGTATAGTTCTTTTAGCCACTCTTGACTAGTATGTACAACACGGGTCTTCATAGGTAATCATCTTCAACATCCCACTAGCATCCTGCTGCCCTTAATCAGAACTAGTTTTGTTCTGACCAGGCATTCTTGTGACTTGAAGCTGTCATAGTAGTTTTCTGGCTTTCATACTCAGGGAAGACATGTTATCAAGGCAGTTAACATTCATGAAGCAATAGGTAGATTTAGCCACAGAGCCGCAAATCCACAAACACAAAACCACTCCAAATGTATAATTTGGATCCATGTACTTGGAAGCAGAATTCAGACTCCCATCTTAGGTGGCTCCATATTAATTTTAGTCTGCCTCATCCACATTTCTATTGTGTGTTTCTTAATCTATGTGATCAACATTTGCTCTCAGGGATGTATTATCTATTTCAAGACGTATGGGATAAAAATAGCATCTCCAAATCTGCCTGAACCCAAGTTCTGTATTCTGAAAAAAAAAGTAAAGGAACCACATTTCTTATTCATATCCAAGGTTGGAAAATAAAATGTTTTCAAGGAAGCCAGAGTAAGCTTCTACACATTCATTTCAAATGGCTCATCCACACAGTGCAAACAGGAGATCCAGACTACAGCGATGCTTATATAAAAGCTTGCATGTATGAGCTCATCACAGAACATTATTTGATTTTTTCCTAACACAGTGATGTCACCATATCTGCAGCTTTTATGGAATCCACAGTCTTTTTACCAAAAGATTTATATGGTTTTACAGAAATGATGAGATTCAGGTATGCATAAAAGCATAAAATGGCCATTTCATTACATGTGCCTGTTAAACAAAAGTAGTTTATAGTCATATGCTTGATTTTAGGCTCCAGTGAAGCTCAATATGCAGGTGTCTGCTCTGCTACAGATTTTCTCTCTTTTAAGCAATTTAATACCCCATTTTGCATAGCTCTTAAC